TGAGTTATGATATGCATGAGTTGAATTTGCAATAATTTCTTGACTTGAACTTATTTTTCTTATATTCAGACAATCTTATTTTTTCTCTCAACTATATCCTTTCTAGTAGCCATGGCCATGAATGTTTGTTCCACATTTGTAGCATCCTTCGCACTTGTTTCTAGAAATGATATGCTAATTTCATTAGTAAATGCCTACAAAAGAAAAGCAAAATAAAAATGGTACAATACAAGGAATGGCAAATTTTGCAAGACAAGGGAGAAAGGATTTGTGTAGGAAATTACTTTAAGTGTTAGTTTAAAATTGCATTAATTATAGTTATTCCTAACAGCTTGAAATAATAATAATTCCAAATTATAATTTTAAGGAGGAAAATGACTACAATATTAAATTGAGTATTATTGTATCAAGCAGAAAAAGGATTTTAGGTAAAAATGTTCATTGAGTCCAATAAGTTTATATGGCTATAAGAGGACATGAGCTACCAATAAGTATATTAAAAAGAGAAATAGAAGCAAAATATTGACCAATTTTAAATATGACTAGTTGACATGGGTTGATGAAACTAGAGCCGTTAAAGAGATGATAAGCGTGCTCATTTGTTTTTTATTTTTAGCTATACTTCCAACGGATCAAATCATATCATTTACCATCTGCGCAAGTATTTTTGGTTGGTTAAAAAATTTCACAAATTTCTCTAAAATGATTAAAAAAGATATAGTAACTATATTAAAGTGTCTAGCAAAAAGATAGAAACTATGCAATGATGAGAGTGCAAAGTCTCAACCATTCACAGCATTATTACCCAGCAAGGTTGCAGATTGGACAAGTTCAAATATCTTTTTAAAATTATATTGCCTAATTGCTTCTTTATTAAATATAGCATTTGATAGAACCACCGATGATGCTCCTTGCTTAATGTATTCTCCAATTAAATGTACAAACATTTGGAAAAGTCATTTGCACTATACACTCATAACACTTGACAACAAATTGATCTACTGATTAAGATTCATGCATACGTTCCTATTTGTTCATAGATATTAGTCAAAATATGTTATAGAAAGCTTCTTTAATAATGTTGTATATATATTTACATGTTTACAACTCATAAGTATTTGTTCATTAAAAAAAAAACTCAATTTGCACGCAACAAAGATTTGGTGGCATGCCATGAGCAATTCATTTTACAAGTATGATCAATTGTGTCGAGCATTTGAATTTTTCAAACTTCATTTCATTCATTATAGATAAAAAAAATGTCGGATAAGTGTGGCACCTGGAAATGCACGAGCTTCAAGAAAAAGAATTGAGAAACAAACTTAAGCTTTGTACTATGCTTAACAACATTTAGAGTTGTCAATTAAGGCTAGCCTGACATTAAGGTCAACCCTTAAAGGGTCAGGGCCTAAACGGGCTGGCTCTAATAAGTTTGATTATATCTCAGGACTCACTTTTGCAAGCCTGATCCTAACCCTTAGAGCCTTAGCCTTTTTTGTTGCTTTTTTCAATTTAAAATTCTAAAAAAAGTTGCTACGGATAATATTAAGTTTAGAAAAATAAATTTAAATCAATTCACACTATAACAAATATATAAAAAAAAAAGTAAACATCAAGGTCCAATATTGAAGGATAATGTTAAAATTAACACTAATAAAAATTAAATTTGGCTAATATTATTAACTAAATCTCGATAAATGAATAAGGGAGGGATGAATGAGTTTGAAATGTTCATTTCTTTTAGTTATAAATTCAATCTTCCATTTTTTTATATTATGATTTTTAGAAAATAATAAAAGGGCTTAGCTCTCTTATTTTCAAGCTTAAAAAGACTAGCCCTTTTAACTTGAAGTATCATTTTTTACTCCAAACTAGCAGTCTGGTCCTAGTTATTTTCTAGCTTAAAACGGCTGGCCCAACAAGCTCAACCCTAATTGACAGCTCTAATGACAGTAAAGAAAAAGGTGAAGACCAATGAATGCTACGGTACTTCACAACATCTTGGAGAATAATGTTCCCTTACTTGTCCATACAATAGAATCCACTCAAGAAGAACCTCCCATTTAATGCTTACAAGCATATGATTGAACAGAAGCTTCATTACCCAGTTCACGAGATCTAAATTGGTTTGCTTAGAATCGTTAGAGTCTAGGCTATTCTCTTAAACCAGTGTCGAATGTTGTTATGTTTCTCATTCCATTGTTTAGAGCTTAAGCGAAAACCTCCTACCATCACAGCCACACTCAAACTTTTCCTCCTTGATCGTTTCTTTGGTTCTTTAACCAGGGATTGACTCTTTAATTTTATATGCATCCATGTTATTAAAACTTTCAATAGTGCTCAGATATTAGCTCTAAAAAAGAGTCTTTTGAGAGAAGAGTCGTATAGTCATGGTGACGCATAGTCGCATGCAAATAGATGAAGGATCCAAGTTGCAACTTGCGTTACTGGCCACAAATCGTCTTCGATTTATGGTATTGTTTTCTCTCAACAATAAAGGGCATTTTGGTCCATTCATCATATTATTTTTTGAATATTAAAATGAGTTTGATCCTTCAATTGTATTTGGTCCCTATGCATAATTTCCCTTTCAACTAAGTATTTTTCACCAATTCTCTCAAAAAAATATGGATAAATATTGATAATGATAAAGGCCTATTAAATTAAAATTATTTCAAATATCATGAATTTAATTCTTAAAGTTTAATATTTATTAACTAAGTTTATAAAATTTCATAGCTGCTTGGTCATATAATTTTAAGCACTTAATTAATAAATGTTGAATTCTATCAATAAGAATTGAATATGACACCGGTGAACCAAGGTTTGAATAAAAACATAAAGATTAAATTTTAAATGTCAAATTAATAATTGAGTCAAATTTTAAAAATAAAAAATTTCACTATTTTGAATATCAAAGATTGATATTGATGACGTTTAAAAACAGAATAAGTGTGTAAAAATTTGAACATCAATAATCACAACTTATAATTTTTTTATCAAAATACAATGAAAAAATTTATATTTTTGAAAATTTAATTTAAATTATGCTGAATAATAATTGAATTTGACTTAGTTAGATAATCATGTAAAAAAATTGTGTTATGTACATTTTTCATATGCATGAGGATAAGAAATCCTTAAATAAGATAAGTGATTATTTATATTAGAAAGTAATAACTTTTTAACTAGAATATGTGGTTTAAATTTTACTTTATGTGGAGATTACATATAAAATATGTTTATATTTTTATATGCATGATATCATATTTTAAAATAATTTGTGTAAGCATAAAATAAATTTTTATCTATTTTTTATTGCTAATAAGTATTCTTTTATTAAAAGTAATTCTATTTGAGATATAGTTGAGTATTAAATGTAGGCACCTCTCTCAACAAGAAATAATTTTTGTCCTCCTATTGTTATATATAGCCAATACTAAAATAAAATAAGATGTTCCTACAATTGAAAAGAAAAAAATTATAAAAATAGATATATGTTTTATAATTTTAATTTACCTGGATATAACAATTCATAAATTAAAATAAATTTATATATATATATATATATATATATTTGATTATGCATGGGATAACAAATTTTATGATGCAACAAGTTATTTTTTATTTCTATTTTCTAATGACAAATATGTTGGGGAAATAAAAGTATATAGTTAATTATTATTATAATTATTTATCTATAACCACAAATACACTTTTATTTCATACAAACTATTATTTTTATAAAATTATTAAGTTAATATTTACTCACAATTTAACTTCTATTAATTTTTATGATTTGTTTGGTTCAAAGAAAATGGTTGGGAAGTGAGTTTTTAAATTTTAGTGACTTCAATTTTGGAAAAATAGAGAATGTTGGCTAGCAAGTTTTTTATTGATTTTTTTTCTCTTACATCTCTCAAATAAAATTTTATAACATATTTATCATTTTTTTAAAATGAACTCATTAAAATCTTATCTTTTCTTTTCTATTTACTGTAAACAAAAAATAAGAGTTAACGGGTATAAAATCTAGTTGAAAGGGAAATTGCATGTTAAGTCAACTTGTCATGTTCACATGCCAAAGAGGATGTGTCAAAAAATGCTCCAGAGATAAAAGACTGGAAAAAACATTTCTAATAACAAAAAATGATATCAAATGATTTTTGGCCACGTAAATTATATTAATCATATTATTTATCCACCAACCTCGCCCTAAAAATAACGCATTAGATTATTAGAAAATTTGCCAAACTTTATAGCTTATTAGTTAATATTATATATATATATTAGTATCACACACACACGCGCGCGCGCGTATTTACACATATCATGTGATTGTTGTCAAATAAAATTGGGACAATGATTGACAAATCTCTGCAAAATAGGAGAATGATTATTTGGTTTGACACAATGTGATATTTACAGTGAGGTAAGGGATTTTTTTTAAAATTAAATTTTTGCATAAAATTATTTTAATAACTCTTTATAATTAATTTTATATGGTTCACATATTTAATATAAAAATTTGTAAATTTGATTTTATTATTTAATAAAATGGTTTAAAAAATTATAATTTTATATCTGTAATTTTTTTAATAACTAAAGTTTAACTAATAATTTTCTCTGGTTTATAAATTTGATACGAGTATTTGTAAATTAAATTTTGTCAATAACTAAAATGAGTTGGCGAATTAAAATTTTCTATCAACAATTTTTAACAACTAACAAAATTCAATTAATTTTTTATTTATTTATAAATTTGATATAAATATTGATAAATTTGGTTTCATTATTAAAATAATTTAAAAAATTATAACTTTTTAAATTATAAAAATATTAAAATAATTTTACATAAAAATTTAATTTTCAAAAATTCTCTTGAAATCTCATTATAATTATCACATCCAGCGAACCATGTTATCATTTCTTTTCATCAACGATTCCCCGATAAAATTGAGTTTTGTTTTGTTTTGTTTTTTGTTTCTTGTTTTTTGTTTTTTAAAGGAGGCGTCATGGTATCCACTCTCGGGCTTCAGTGGACTGTGCCTGCTCTTGGAGCATCCAGTGCTCGTTGTTCAGTTCCAAGTCGCAATAGAGCCATTGCCATTTCTGACCGTCTCGTCCTAATTTTTCTAATCCATCTTCTTAAGATGCGCATTGCATTGGTCTACATCCTTATACTAGGTAGTGATTATTCCTGCTCCTCTCTGCTGTATCTGTACGGCCCATTTGGCTGCCTACAATGAGTTCGAAGGACCAGAATATCTCCTTTAGAGTTCAGCTCGCTTGAGAATTCCTCCATTTTTTCTGTTTCTCTTTTACTGTTAGCGCAGCCAGATGGAGGAAAAACCCCCCCTTATTGATGAAAAGTAATTTCTTATTGAAGTTTGTTCCGAATTGCTTAGTTTCGTTTTCTTGCTTTTCAGGCTTGTTTAAATATGTAGTGACTGAAGAAGGGTTTTGCTCTGCTCCCTCGGTTGTTGGCATAGAATCAAACCTGAGCCCTTTGTATTTGAAAGTCGATAATCCAACTCTCTCTCCTATGCATCTTAAAGGTCAGCTAAGTAAAATTTGCCGTGCGAATTGTACTTCCGTCAGAAAATGAAGAGATACCTGTTATGTTTGGCATACATCAGTTGATTAAGTTGCTAAAAGTTATTCGTTGGTCTACTTAAAATCTTTACTTACTAGCTTATTTGTTATTTGTTAAATGATATAAGAGAGAAAGTTGGGATCTAGCCCCTATAAAATTTTCATTTTATAACTACGGTGAACATTATTCAAGCGACATGGTTTCAACTCAACTCAGGTTTGATTCAAACTCAAGTTATATCTTAATCAAACAGTCCTGAGTTGCATAGAACCTGGCCTGCTAGCCAGTGATCAAGTTTGAAAAGCATACATTTCTTTGTAATTGATAATATTTTAGATATTTTTGCATGTACTCATCTACAACCTTTTTATTATATACGAGCCTCCACCCTTGCATGTATTGCACGGTGTACAACACTGTTCAAATAGTTCACACAGCTCAAGGAATATTGCATTTACAGTGTCAAAATGTTTTAATTACACACACACACACACTGGCTATTTAAATGTTGCCTTATTTAATATTTAATCTGTAACTGTATACATGGTTGCAAACTTGTCATGTAAATGCAAATATATAAGTAGGCACATCAAAAAACTAACATATAGTTTTTCAGGCCGGTTTGGTCAAGCATTAGATGTTCTTTCTAGAACCCATCTTGAGTTGGCTTTTGCTTTATTACCTATTATTTCTGTTTCCTTGTGCATATGTTGTTTATGTCCAAGATAATTCATTGTAATTGTTTATGAAGTGAGACTAAATATATATTTTTTTTTTTGGTTCCAACGTGTTGGTCAAAATGCTGAAATATGACTGACACTCAGCTACTGGGCTTGACTCTATTGCTGTACTTAGCCCTCCACCCCAATTAGCTGTCCATTTCAAAAAATTGTTTAGATCTTTAGCTTTCTACTATGTCCAAATTTCTCAAGTATTTCTTAGGAAAAATCATAAAGAAAAAACGTAGAAAAAGTGAGTTGACTCTAAAAAGTTCCCTCATTTGCCAGATTTGCCTGGTTTCACTCGCAGCGTTTATAAAAGAGATCATGCTTTAATATCACCAGAAAGCCATGTATATGGCCCGTTACCTGATTGGTATTCACTTGACTTTCCCCATTTGTTTTGTTTTAAATATTGAGCCTGGTCTTCATGTCCAACAATTGCTTTGACAGGATCAATACATCTGGGGCATATTTAATTGCACCAGAGATGGGCTCTCACTTTGTAATGTACCTGGTGAAGTTGCAAGGTTCGGTTACAACCAATTTCCCAGCACTGTTTATATGTAACTTAGATATGGGCATATTCTTATGCTGATTTATGCTTAACTCTTTTTTTCAGAGAAATCGAAGTCAGGATTACTCCTGAATGATGTGGAAAGGTTTTTTTGTCCCTTAGTTTAGTTCTAAATTGGACCCTACCCACAACATAGGGACCCAATTGACAATTTTTACTTTTTTCTTGCCAAAAGCATGTAACTGATTTATTTGAGACTCTTGTGCATTTTATACTGCTAGATTCATTTTTGTGCTCCGGGGTGCAGTCACACTCACAACTGGTGCTTGCAGTCGTCACACACTGAAGGTCAGATCAGAGTTTTCAATTGTTATGTAGATTAAGCTATTCTGTACATATGCTCACTAGTTTTGATAAAACTGACATGGTTAATGTTGCTATATCTATTCTAGCTTTGGTTGGTTAATTTAACTACCTGCAATCGTTCATGTATCATATATGCTGGCTATTTGTGGTACACTTGTAATTGCAGAATGAGTGACTTGTTTTTATTGGTCTCAATAACACACATGTGCACCCTTTTAAGTTTTCTAGCTTTGGTGGCTGTTATGGGATCTAGCCCATTATTTGCCTCTATCAGGAACTCAATATTGCAGGTAGTACATTTGCAAACTAGTAAGCTCTAAAATTATGTTTTACTTTGGCTTCATAGGAAACAATTGTCCTTGGGTTATTTTTAAGAAACTACAATGGCTATTGTAGTTTGAGAAGTTTATTTACTTGTATACTGCTGTTATAATTTTTGTTGCCAGTAAAGCTCTACCACATACTCTTTTATTTAGTTTTCCAGCCGTTTTTTCCCAATTTATGCTATTAATGCTGTTTCATGCTACTGAATAAGGTGCTATGAACACGTCATGAATATAGGGTTTCCATGTTTGATGCATTTGGATTCTGGAATCTGGACTATTGATTGAGTTATGTCTGTATTAAATTACTCGTAGGTATTACTGGTTCCATTTGTATTTTATTGTTACTTTAAGATTTTAAATATTAATAGACAGAATGTATGTCATGCTTTAATATTGCCCTGTGTAAGGCATTGCACAATGCCCCATGGCACCATGAGCCCTTGGGGCAACTGTGACTGATATGCCATGAATAACTATGGATTAACTTCACAGGGAAAAAAACCTCAAATTAGTGAAAGTATATCACAATCATGATAGTTGTGTGTTTCTCATGCCTTTTCTGGCCACTGGTTGATCTATCACTCATCATGAAGAATTTGATATTCATTGTATTGTTTATCTATTCTAAGCTATTAACAGTTTGATGCCTTATTTTAAATTTCAGATGGATACATATGCCTATTTCCCTCCAAATTATAATCATACAATTGAATGTGATGCCTCTGCAACAATTGTGGTATTTGAGCGAAGGTTTGCGCTTTGTACTTCACCCATTTTTCTGATCTGTAATTGGTTGTCTTGAGCAAATATTTATATCCTTGTGCCAACATGAGGAAGAGATTGACCAATTAATTTTACCGTAGCTGGATTCAAGAACCCAATTTATCTCTCTGGGTTATTCCACATGTAATCACCTTAAATGGTCGCAATAATAGTGGTCCATTTTTCTTGAATCCCATGGCAAATTTCCATTTTCTTATATTCAAATGCTAGCAGCCATGGTGACACCCTAATAGCTGCAATTATCATAATTGTCTGCATGTTAGGTATGCTTCTCTGGAAAACCATGTCCCAGAGCTTATTGTTAATTCAACAGATTTGCAGCCACTCCTTGAAACACCAGGCGAGGTAAGTTGATGACTCCATCTACCTTTGTTGAAACATTTTAACAATGGAGAGGTATACCTCCTTTCCCTTCTTCCGTTCCCTCTACTTCCGATTACGTTCCATCTCTTACACTCCCCTCCACTCTAAAGTTCCCCAGCAGGACATAAAATACAAGATGCATCCTTTTCTTACTGTCTGTTTTTTAAAAAGACACTATATGTGCAAAAGAGAACATTTTTGTGCCGATGTCCATTAATGTCATTGATTTATATTAAAATAAAAAAAAACAGCAAGTAAGTAATGTCATTGCTTGAGACTTATCCTCAACAATCAAGCCTATACGGTGTTTGTTTTATCTTATCTTCTCTCTCATTTCCTTCTGGCTAAAAAGACAAGACTGCAAATAGAATACATGATGCATAAAACATTTCTACCTCTTTTCTGTGCCCATTACCAGGTTTTTGAGCTGCGGAAACTTCTTCCATCATCTTTGGCGTATGACTTCAATATCCATGTAAGCCCTAATCTATCTCTTCTATACTCTCTTGTAAATTTAGATTCAAATTCTAGGTTATTCATATTGAAATTATAATTTTCTTGTCCATCATAATATTTTTGCCATGCATAGCTAAATGTAGATAATTCATTTATGCCTGCAGATTATGGATTTTCAGCCTGGAGAATTTCTCAATGTGAAGGTGATTACTCTACCTCTCTCAGTCCATGAAACACTGATATCATTTCTGTTTCATGTCATGCCACAGCATTGGCAATGCAGTACATTCTACGGTAGTAATATGCTGCTGAATTACGTTTCCATATTCACATATTGAACGTTTGAGAAAATGATATACTCTCTTCAGTTCTTATTATAAAACATTTTCAAATATTTCACGCATCTTAAGAAAAATTAATTTTTTTCTTAATGTCATAAAAAAATGATATGCACTTTCATTTTTACCCTTAGCTTTAAATAATAATATAACTATATTAAATATCTTTATGCTAATCAAGAAAGGGTAACATTGAAAAAAAGTAGTTTAATTATTATAAATTGTCCGATATTTGGACCAAAAATTACTTCTAGAAGGTGTCCTATAAATAGGACCAGAGGGAGTATGTCCGTGGTGTTATCAGTGAAAACCCTTAATGGTGTATCCAAGATCTGAGAAGCAATGTTCTATATTTCTATAAACTAATAAATGTCTGTTATATGATTGCAATTAAATCTTTAATCTTTTGTTGTATTGATAATCTAGGCTAAAAGCATTAGACATGCATCCAAGATGCAGTTTATTTTGCATGATTAATATTTTGCTTCAGTATTATTTCATGTCTTAATGCACGAAAAGTTATCTCAACTGAACAGAAACAGTATATGCATATGACTCCCTCAGGATGCATTTCAATCTTCTTGTTTAATTATCAATTTATCATCTCAAGTATCAATTTTTTAGTTGTTGAATCAAAGTTCTGTTCGTATCCTTTGATGTCAAATTGAAGGACTTCTAATTCCTATGTGCCATATTTTTTGCTTTTGCAGGAGGTGCATTATAACCAGCATGGTTTACTGCTATTAGAAGGGCAAGGCATTTATCGTTTGGGTGAAAATTGGTAAGAAAAGAGATCTGACATTCCAAGAATTAGTCTACACGTTACATGGAATCCTAGAAAAAGAAAAGCTTTGACTCCATGAACTTTATAGACAAGCATGTGACTGGTAGGCTGTGGGATCTTGGACTTGTCTTGTAGTGATGGCATTACAAATATTGATCCTATCGTGGATAGAGTTACATATTCCCTGTACAAGTCCCACAAGTATATAAATATAGGCAGTGTGTATACCAAATTTTTAGATTGATTCGGTGTTTTTTTTTTTTTTTCTTTGGGGACCTTGCAATGGAGATCTTATTCATTGCATTTCAAGGGTTATATTTATTTCATTTGTTGAAAGCTGGTTTTTTTTAATACAAAAAAGGGGGTTTGAACCTTTGACCTCTATCCTTACCTCAATTCACCTCGCCGTTATTATTTGGGCTAGCCTTCGGCTTTGGAAGCTGGTGTTTTATTTATTCTGTTCTCATTGAAATCCTCACCCGCCATTATATCCACCCTTCATCTTTCCTGGAAACAGGTACCCAGTTCAAGCGGGTGATGTCATCTGGATGGCCCCGTTTGTGCCACAATGGTATGTATATTACTTAACTACGCTTTCTTTTATATCTGAACAAACACCGACATTCTGCATTGTACATTGCTGCATGATACATGTACATTCACATTTCATCTCAACCTTCAACGTGGACATTTAAGTAATTACTGATACATTTGGCGCTCTATTCAGGTATGCTGCCCTTGGAAAAACTCGCACGCGGTATCTTCTGTACAAGGACGTGAACAGAAACCCATTATAAATTATGCTGATGAATGTCAGCTGTATCATACCTTGCTATTTGCTTAAAAATGCCGGGGTACATGTTAAGAGTTCCATGGTTCCTCTCATGATTATTAAAATGTTATGATCTTGATTAAATCAAATATAAGATTCTGCCTTTTTGTGACTATTCTTTTGTGGTCCAGAAGTGTCGGATTCTCTGATGAAAAACTGTTACTTTTGCATGAAGGGTTTATGCCTCGCCTTTGGTGCAGCTTTTGGTGAATTGGTTGTGGGACTAATTCATTTTACTCTTAAAATCGATCAAGGAAGAAATTGTCAACTTACTAATTCGATCAAAAGTCTGTTAATTCGACATTAAAATCTGTCTCAAATAAATAGTTGGAACTCTGACAGAAAATGAAGAAGCATATTCTGTGAAAATTTAAGTTTAATGTTGAAGGTCAGTGAAACAATGGTTGTAAGGAAAAGCAGAGGTTGGCAAGAGCTTTGGTGGATATTCCCCAATATAATTTAGGATCCTATGGTGTAGACTAGAGACTCCAAAGATCCGCTAATCTTACAGATAATTGCGCTTTGGCTGTAGTAACACAGAATGTGGAATCCCCTTAGCCCCTATCTTTGAGTTAATGATAATTAAAATTATCCTCAGAAGAATGCTAATCTCCCAATGGCCAACATAAAGGAAGTCAAGCAAAACCACTGGAATATGGACTGCAAAACATCTGGTTCAAGAACTTCCGCGTGGCTCACCAAAGAATTTGTTTGAATGAATCTGAGTTGGCCCTCCTATAATTTTTAGTGCGAAGAGAGAAGAAATGTTAGAGACTCAAATGGCCAAGTCCTTTCGCTCAATCTACTTTGCGAATCTATTTGGAGAGATGCCTAGCCTACTCAGATGGTTTTATTGGGATAAACATTATCTATCAGTACCTTGGTGTCAGAAAGTTGTTCAGCTTTTGGTTTTTCTCCTGTCAATGACTTGCACCGAGTTCTAAAGTTATCCTCTGTCGGTTTAAATTAATTAATTAATGTAATAAATCCATTCCATTTTGGTTCTTTATTGTCACTATATTCGATTCCAGTGAATTCCTTCTCTTTGACTCTCTTCTCAGTGACCATTGCTTTTCTCTTTTATTGTCACTAAAGTTATATGCCTTTCTTTTTATATATATTTCTGATTTTCTGAAGCCTATTTTTAACAGCGTGTTCGTTATGCAAGCTTTAAAACTGGTTTGATCATGATAATATAGATATTTTTACTATTACAACAATGATTAAATATAATAATAGACTTGAAACTTTTAGCCACCGTCATAATGTTGAACCCTCGATAAGCTGCGGCTACTCACTGCATCAAGATTTCTTCTTGTTACAATAAAAATCATTCATGAGTTTTTACTCAATAATTTTATTATTATTTTTTAAAATAATTTCAGATCTTGCATAAAACCATCAATACTATTGATGTGCCTAAATTTAACACCTGCAAGTGCGCGGGTCTAAAAGTAATACAGCAGGTCAAAGTCGTCCCACAAAAACCCATCGCAAATTAATATCAAGCATTTAATAAATAAATTTCATTTAAGTTAAGCTAGTAAAAGTGAGAGTGGTTTTAGAACAATCAAAATAAAATTTCAAAGTTCACAATTAAAATAAATTTTAATTCACAAATAAAATTTTGAAAATAATTTCCTAATTGCTTCTTGACCCCTTCATTACTATGTTAATTGTTTTGAATCTAAGTTTTGATCATCTAAGAGTAAGAAATAATCTAGAGTATCTTCCAACAATTAAGGATCCTAATTAATCTAATTAAAGCAAATTATTATCTTAATTATTTAATTGCATTAGAGACTAACACCCATGAAGATTACTTAGGTCTATTAGATATATTTTTGTTCTAATGGCAAAATTAGCTAAATTAATTCTAGGTTACTAGTTCTTAAAGTTTAATTTAAGTTTTCTCTTTCAAGGTTTAACCCAAATATCCAAATCTCACATAGTGGTGACTAAACACTAAACAAGAATAAAATAACTCAAGAATAAGTAATTAAAACTTCATGTTTCAACAATTAAATGATAAATCAAGATTTATTTACACAAATGGATTCACAATCCTCTAGAATAAAGGAATTTAGCTATACATAGCTGATAAAATCATCATAGCAACACAAAAAGATTCAAAATCCATAAACATAGAAAGAAAGAGGAGAAGAAAAGCTGATAAGACACTAATTGGTGTGTGATTTCTCCACTCTCTCTCAATCTCAAGCTTCAAGATCCAATGGTCGAAACATGTGTTTTTGAGTTGAGAAAATTGAGTCTTCTAAAGTTTTTCCAAATAAAAAGTGAAATTGTTCATCTTTATATTTTTGATAGGTGTTTCGGCACTCTCATTGTGGTGCCATGGCACCTATGAAATATTCACAATGTAATTCTATAGGAGCCATGACACCAGAGATACAATCCACTTAACTTTGTTCTTTCACATTTGTACTTTGGCACTTAAACTCTCATGCTACAATATATGTGAACGTTTTTATCCTTGATTTCTTCTTCTATAATTTCTCCTCTTTCTTTTTTGAGCTTTTAATGTTCACCTATTTAAGCTAATTTTTACGAGTGACTCACTTGCTTACTTAAATTTCAACAAACTTAAATCAATTTCTTTAAAATATTACGTTAAACCCATGTGATGAATATAATTAACATCTTTCAATTAAGTATGGACTTACTTCTCTTTTTGCATTGATGGCTCCCCAAAATGTAACCAAAAACACCATAATTATAATAAAAAAATAGGGAGTCATCAACTAGATGCATTAAAATTTGTAAGAAACCATATATCATGTAGCATATAGAGGGCTCATCGCAGCCCTTTCTAGTGGAACTGCATTTTCAAGACTTAAATTCGAAACTTATAATTAAATCGGTACAATTCTATAAACAATTGAACCAAGCGTTTATAATATAGTCCCTTCGAGTTTAATGCATCGTGTTAGTAGATGGAGGAGTTGTATCGATGGAAACAATAAGAGTGATATGTATTATCCATTCTTGGGTTGTAGATGCATTCGTTGTTGATAGAGATTCCAACACTGACAAGTGTCCAACTTTTTCTGATTTTATCTCAGTAAGTCTCTATAAATGGACCCAATTACACTCCAATCCTGAGAAAGGACCACTTTTGTGGCTAGCTTCGTGCATTTATCACTACCACTTAAGAGAACCAAATCTTCTTGGAGGGGGACACCTTCATTAATGAACATGTTTTGATTGTACCTTAATACAACTTGAACGAGATCCATTTATTTCATTACGATTATTAATTGGCGAACTCAGAATTCTCATTCATGATTCCTCAAGAAATGGGTGTGTCTTTCTCTGCCAAACTGCGTACAAATTTATGTGGAAACAAAAGCGACAGAGATATGTTGGATATAAAAGAAATGCTTCTGTAGTAGAGAGCTTTCAAAAATGGGGTGTTCTTGGAAAAAAAAAAAAGATTGATTCTTATAATTTTATTAAATTTTATTTTTAGTCCCTGTAATTTATTTTTAATATTTTTAGTTTTTATAAGGACTTGAATAATAAATGTCACATGATCTTATTAAAATTATATAAATTAAAAATATTAAAAGAAAAAAATTATAAGATCTGAAAGCAAAAAAAAAATGAAACTATGAAAACAATAATAATTGTGTTCTCCGTTTTCTAGATGTGAAAGCCTTGGATTTATCTCCTTAAAGTCAAACCAATTGATTGAGATACCAAGAGTGACATGTTATCAAGTTTAGTGGCACTTGTGGATCATGACAGCGCCATTATTGTACATTATTGGATGTATCTTTCCCTTTTTTTTTTTTTTTTACCTAGTCGAAACGATAACAGGATGGCATAAATAAAGTTCTGTTGTTGTAAGAACTAGCTTTTATCTCATGTAAATATAAAAATTAATCAACATCATAAACTCTAAATTATTATGTAAATAATATTTTAAATTCTAAATTAATATTTTTAAAATTGAATAGAATATTGAATTGAAAAAGTCAATAATTTACTGTTCGCATGGTTCAACCAGAGTGGATCAATAGTTAAATCGATGACGTAATAATTAAATTAAAAATTATATATATATAATAATTTAAATATAAAAAATAAATATAAAATTTTTACTTAACTTAAAAATAAAAATAAATATTTTAAGTTTTTCATAACTTGAAAAGCGACAAGATACAACATAACATCAAATGATTAAAAAAAATTAACTGTTTTCTTAAAAAAATTGATAAAAAAATTTTAAAAAATATTTTTTTAATATTTCAGTTTTCGAAAATCAGATTCAGTTTTTCGCTTGATCTCAATTCTTGATCTGACCATCTATCCAAAATGGCCCAACCCCCAAAACGGTTTTTATATGCTAACTGAGCCAAAATCTAGATCGGTCAACAATCGAACCAGTTCATTTTTTTAATCACTATTCTAAACTCTTGAAATATACAAAAACTTCTCACAACTTCTAAATTTTGAGTACCTAAAACCCAGCTGTTAAGTTAGAGAAAATGATTGTTATTTTTTAGGGTTAAAATAAGTGTGATATCAAAGTACAATGAGGCTCGACAACTATAAAAATAACAGTCATTTTTTTTACTTTAACAACAATATTTCATGCGCTCAAAATTTAAAATTTAATGAGAGTTTTTGCATATTTTAAGAGTTCAAGGCTCAAGATTTATTCATAAAATGGTTTAATATTTGTAATACTCATTTACCCCAAACATAATACTAGATGAGTATATAGATTAAATTTTAAAGGAAGTGTAAGCAAGTAGTGATTTTATGGTGTATTATTGATATAGTGTGTGTAATTATTATTATTATTATTATTATTTTTACCAGCATAGTGTGTGCAATGATTTACTAGTTATAATGCTCTTAAAGTAAAAGAATACGGTGTAATGTATAAAGTCTTTGTGAATTTGAAACAATTGCACGTGATCTCATTTATTTTTTAACATTTAAAATTAATCTCTTAATCTTTAATTTTATTTTTCAAATTGCATATTGTTAATTAATTTTTGTTTTATTAATATAATTATTACCATGTCAGACTAACGTATTACATATGACACATGACATGAAAAAATTTTTATTATTTTTAACATA